CTAAATACTTTTTTTCCCCACTGTAGTTAAGCACTGGTGCTGTTCATATTGAAACCGTTTTCTCTAAATAATGTTAATTTATTAGGTGCAAGAAAACTTATAATTTTTCAAATTCAGATGATGTTTTTTTTTGTTTTGTTTTATTTAAATTATTTTCTGTTGGTCTTTCTCTCCGTCTTCCAGTAAGTTCCGCCCAAAGTCGGAGCAGCACATCGATAACTTCTCGCTGTCCACCGTCGCAGAGGGCTCTCAGGCAAATGTAAGGAAACTGTGTGACACCCCGACTAACCTCCCCCATGCCCGTGCTTTGGCTTACTATGATAACATTATGTGTCAGGTAACTTTTCCTCTCCTCTCTTCCCCTCTGTTTTCCTGTGCATGAGTACTGAAGGTATAAAGTGCTACCTCTCTCTTTCGGATTAGGCAGTATGCTTATTGTCTTATTCCTTTCTTCATGTTGGAATTCTCTCTTTTCCACTCTTTTTTTATCCTTAAGATGAGAAATAGAAACACCATCCTCTTCATCCCTCTCTTTCCCTCAACGTCTGTCATTGATTTGCATGTGCCACCTAAGGTCATGTGAAGTACTACAGGCTGCATGAAGCATTGGAGAAACTGGATTATTTTATGTGTTTCCAAACATACTGATCATATTAGCAGTTGTGTAGAGCGGCTGGGCAGTCAATGCAATGATTTTCCAACGGTTTTAGTCCTAATTTTACAAGATACAAAGAATATAATCAATATCTGCTGAGGTGTCAATTAATTAAGAGGGCATGATATAACGATGTACCAGAAGTGTGTCAGTAGAGTAATCCTCTCTCGCCACCCCACTCCTTAGAAAACCATGAGCAGATACACGTGGGAATATAAACCTAAAGAAGATCCCTGCAGCGAGGTAAGAGGACTCTATCTGACCTCCTCCCAGTGAGCTCTGATACCTTGCTGATTCAAATAAAACGCTTTAATCCTGCAGCTTCATTATTACTCACCTTAAAAGTCCGCTATCATGGTTGAAACACATCTTGAGCCTTTACTTCCTATGAAATGACATAGACAAGCAATAATAGATTTAGCGGTTTAAAATAGAAGCTTCCTCACCATAGTTGCTATTGTGACTTTTTAGTGTGATTCATGCAATTTAACATCCTACTAGTGAACGTAGTAGTCCGCTGTTAATCTCCTCGCATCATTCAAAGCACTAACAACACAGCGACCTTGTAGAAATTTGTGTTGACTAACATATTCATAATTCGAAGTATACATGAAATATCGATACTATATCATTTATTGGTGGTATTATTTTTGTTATTGAGTAATATATTATTTATTTGCATTGTCTGATATCAAATATCTAATTGTGGATTTCCTCTGTTACATGTAGAATAACTTTGCCATCATCTAAAACCCAGTTAATCTTAATAAAGTTCATCTTTAAAAACACAAATAATTTAATAATATGGATTGGTAAATATACTTTTTAAAAAGTCTCTAATCTATAATATCTCTCTTTTTATACTGTACATTTTGAGATAAATATTCAAAATGATCATATATATCATATTAGACACTGAGACTCATATATATATATATATATATACAGTGGGTACGGAAAGTATTCAGACCCCCTTAAATATATATATATATATATATATATATATATATATATGTATAAATTAAAATTATTTTTAAAAAGTCCTGTGTGATGCCTGAATTCATGTGTAGTTTTTTAAATGATTTAAGTCTGTAGCAGGCTATTTAAAGTGACTGGAATTAAAAGCTGGAAATATTTAACAGCTTATTGTAATTAAAGGTCACTATATTTTAAGGTTTAATTCTCGCTATTAACAAACCATTAACTATGACTTTTGCCTCAAACTCCTAATTTGCTGCTTATTAAGAGTTAGTAAGGTAGATGTTAAGTTTTGGGTAGGATTAGGGATGTAGAATATGGTCATGCAGAATATATGCATTATAAGTACTAGTAAACAGCCAATATGATAATAATAGGCATGCTAATAAGCAACTAGTTAATAGTGAGAATTGGTCCCTATACTAAAGTGTTACCAAATTAAACTTAATATTGACGCATCCCTAATTAATCTCAATAGCAATTTACAAAAATAACTGCCTTTTGATATCATGACATCGACAGTATATGAACAGATGGATGACAAATGAGATAAACATTTAAACTTTGTGTGAAAAAAAGATTGTTTCTCTGTGCTCCCGTCTGGGGGTCATCTTTCAGAGTAGATTATCATGAATGATGAACCTGTTCCTTCAGTTGTGCGTGTAACATTTGATCTTTAAAAGAGGACCAAACAGCGGTCTTTGCTATATTCACCTGTTACCTTGCAGTACCTGGTGAACCTTGAACTTGTCAGATCCTGTTCTCCTGCACTTTGATTTAGGCCATTTGTTTATTCTGAGGTGAAACTCAAATCTAGTTTCTGATGATCTTTTGATTGTGTGGGGGTTGTATTGCCTTCACAAATTAAATTTCTTCACCTTGTTCAACTCCGCCGGTCCATTCCCCCAGTGAGTTCATAGTGGAAGAGTAAAAGAGTCTGACAGCTTGACTGAGATGAGGCAAGAAATGAGGGATTATTGATGACAGAACATAAACGAAAGAGCTATGAAAATATCCCTAGGTAACTTTGTTTACTTGTCTTACTGTCTCTGGGGGAGAATTTATTTGACATTTTTCATCTTCTCTCTCTTGAGAATGAGTATTTACACATGCCTGATTTCAGCAGCATGAATAGTCTTCTTTTCTTTTCTCCTCATGGCATGTACAATCATTGCCTTTGTGGTTCCAAAAAAGGGATATCACAGGTAGCAAGTTGTACAAAAAAAGCTTTGCTTTTAAGCAACTTGTTGTAATGACAAGCATTAGTTCACAGCAGTGAACATTCTGTTGAAAACACCATTATTGCTTAATGCCTTCTGAATAAGCAAGGTTTACTGTTAGTCCCATATTATATATAATAATATATTATATAATGTAACCATTATGCTTATAGTGTGTTGATGTCTCTTGCGAAATAGTAAAAACTGCCGATATCCCTTGAAATTCCTGGTTGTGGATCAGTTTATGCTCTGAAGTTGACCTTTTACTCCACTCAGCTGTGAAGTAAAAACTGAATCCAGATCCATGCACTCACCTCCTGAACAGGTTTGCTTGTTATGGTGCCTTGTGTACATCTGGTATTAACATCCGGTGATCCAACAAGCAGCTTGAGGTGTAAACTGCATTCAGTGCATCTTGGAAATGCACTCAATCTTCATATATAACATCTCATTTCCACCAAAGTTATGACAGAAAAAATTAAATCGAAATACTAAGAATCTCAAAATTGACTTTTGGCCTTTGATGTAATTACAAGAGAATTATGATGTTAATTATGAGTCAAATGTGTCTAAAGCCAAAACTGACATACTATCTCGTAATTGATTTTGAATGTCAATTTTGACTTTTGATCTCATAATTCACTTGGTATGTCAGTCTTGACATTTGGCATAATATTGAATCTTTCATAATTGACCAGGTCATAATTATGAATTCAAAAGTCAAAACTGACATATTAAATCAATCTTGAGATAGTATGTCAATTTTGACTTTTGATCTTATTATTGTCTTTGTCAATAATGAAAGTAAAAATGTTGCCAAATGTCAAGACATACCAAGTGAATTATGAGATACCAAGACTTTAGTATGAGATCAAAAGTCAAAATTGACAGTCAAAACTGAAATGGTGAATTATGACTTATCTCATAATTGACTTGTTACAAAGTCATAATTACAAAATATGTCATGTTCAAGTCATAAGTTGAAATTGAACCACAGTTATCATAATTTTGAATTGTCATAATTGTCTTACTTTGACTTTTCATAATTTATTTTTGTTGAAATTGAACCACAGTTGTCATAATTTTAAATTCTCATAATTGTCTTATTTTGACTTTCCATAATTGATTTTTTTTTTCAAATAGACTTGCAAAAAGACAATTTAAGTCACAGACTGGCATAATGCATAATTGTACTAAAAATAGAGGCTCACCAAATATGACAATTTTATAATTTACTCTCCCTCATTCCGTTCCATTCAGTCATTAGGGGGCTGTCAAGCTCCAAAATGAACCACAGCTATCAGAAATAATCCATATGACTGTTATGCACTGATAGCTTTATGTGTGTGATTGCATTGGAAGTGGTCACTGGAGACACATTTGAGATGTTAATGCCAGGTGTAAAAGAGTGGAGTGGAACATTTAGTAATTTTTCCCCTCATTGTCATCGTGTGTGTATGTGTGTTGCTCCGCAGGATTTCATTCCGTTCCATTCAGTCATTAGGGGGCTGTCAAGCTCCAAAATGAACCACAGCTATCAGAAATAATCCATATGACTATGGTTATGGTTATGCACTGATAGCTTTATGTGTGTGATTGCATTGGAAGTGGTCACTGGAGACACATTTGAGATGTTAATGCCAGGTGTAAAAGAGTGGAGTGGAACATTTAGTAATTTTTCCCCTCATTGTCATCGTGTGTGTATGTGTGTTGCTCCGCAGGATTGCACTTGCAAAGAAGATCCATGCAAATGTCCCCCTAAAGAGGACGAGTCTTTGAACAACCAGAACTCGCTCACGCCAAAACTGGAAAATGACAAGGCCGCCACAGAAGACAATGCGGAGGAGGTAAACTCAATGCAGAACAACATGAACAACGTGTAGTAACACCCTTTTGCCACAAGCTGGCGCTATGACTGTAGCAAGACACACATTTGACACCTTGAAATTACTAAAATACCCTAATTAGTGGACTAAACATTGACATGGCACTCTTCCTTGCATTCACCTCAAGATGGCTCAGTGTGGGCTTCAAAACACACAAACGAAGCACTGAACTAGCATGCTAACTTATGTTTGTACTCTGTCGTCACACGGTGGAGTTCCTACTGCCAGAGTACCTTACCAGCACATTGGCGTTGCCACATTCACCTTGTCCTTGCTTGCTGTGCCTGCTGATGTCACGCTGCTTCGTGTTATGTCAAGCTTTGTACTGTGTTCCGTCTAAGTCATGCTACGCTATGAAACACTTCACCCCACAACCCAAAGGTTTAGCCGCCAGGTTTTCAACCTTTGACCTTCAGTCTTCACCGCTGTCACCTTCTGAACTCCTGTCTGTCCTGCCTTACTCAAGTCAGCATGCATTGGTGTTCTTTCGAATAAAAAAAACAAAAAACAAAACGTCTGTGGGAAATAATGTAGCTATTTAGACTGTTAAAAAAAAAAGAGAGATTTGTAGATGTTTGTTGACTTATTCAGTGCATATGTCTGAATATATATACAAATACTGCTTGGATTAATATTTATGTGCAGTATCATAGTGTTAATGCTCATTGTGTCTTGAAACTAATTGATTTCAAATTATTTTGGTGTATTGAAATATTTTTTTTGTACTTTTTTTTTTTTGAGAAAGCAAATGAAAATAAATAAAGCCAGTTTGTTTGGAATAAAACATTTTACCAGTACCAAATTGAGTGCCAGTGTATTCCTGAACTCCACCGCTCCTGTTTTGACTCCTTTACACTTTCACTGCTCCTCCTCACTCTTTTGCTTTGCATCTGTGCATGGCTTTAGCGTTCCTCAGGTACTGCTAACCATACTGGACATTTCACCTTCATAGAAATGCTTAATTGTAAGACTGTCCTGACTTTACATATTTGGGTTTGTATAACAAAACGTCTTGACATTTGCTGTCCAGTCTGGCTGTGAGTTGGCAAAGAAAGTTTGAAAAAATGAACAATGTAAAACATGTCACTGTTCATTAGTGACAATTTTCCTATCTTTAAAATGAATTTTATTTATATTTTTATAATTGGTTATATTTTACTAAATTATTTTTCCATTTAAAAAAAAAAAAGAATACTGTTCACACTCTTTGTACTGTATTTTTGATCTAAGAAATGCAGCCTTGGTGAGCACAAGAGACTTGTCAAAAACAAAAATCTTACTGATCCCAAACCTTTGAATGTGAATATAGTAGAGCTGGAACTTAGCTTTGATGTGCTTAGTTGCTTATTGAGTCTGCCATCACTCATTGATAGTTTTACTCACAAATTAGCACAAGAATTATATCCATAAATTGCTAAAAACAAATAAAAAAGATTAAGCTAGTACCAAAGTTTCCCACCTAAACTTGACACCTGAAGTTTGAAAAGCTGCTTTCCACTGAAATTTATCCAAAGAGCACAAACTGGGCTTTTGAATCTAATCTAAGAATTTAGTTTTAGACATTTAAATTGAATTTGGTGACTAATGCCAGATTGTTGCATAGCAATTATATGCAGACAGAAACTAGCGCGCACTCAGTCTAATAAATTTGACAGTTACAAATGAGCCTCAAAATAAAGTATTACAAAGGTTTTGAAAAGATTAGGCGCCCCTCTACTTAATAGAGGGCGCAAGTGAAGTACAATCCTTTGTTTAATTCAGCTTGATAATACGAGATCTTTTCCCACAAGCTGATTACTTGCTCATGCCCACCTCATTCACCGCTCATAGTTTGTGCCAGGTTGTCAACACTCAAATCACTCGATAATGCTCACAAAACAATGGCCTAATAGTTTCCTCTATTCACTTTGACTTTAAATAATTTTAATGCCGGGAGTTATCAATTTATGCACTTTGTTAAATTCTTTATGCTTTTTCTTTATGTATGGGTTTACCATGTGTTTGTCTGTGTAATTGTGTTATATGTGATTTTTTTTCATTTATTCCTTTTTGTGTTGTTATGCTTGTGCACTTGTACCTGTGCCTTTGTATGTGTGTATGTGTCCAGGGTGGTGTGACCATCGACTTAGAGTTGCTTCTCCCCAAAGAGGTGAAAATGCTTCCCGAGACAAGCCCCCCACTGCACTACAACGTCTTTCTCTACAGGCTCCCCAAATCCCCTAAAAAGTCCCCCGTGCTGTGCCGGCCTCCTGGCAGATCTGTACAGGGGAGACCTCTGTCCCAGCTCTGCCCCAGACGCAGCTCCGAACCCAGCTACAGCCCCATTAGCACGCGTTCCCTTCCGGGAGTGCTGTCCGGCTCATCCAGCCCTCACCTGGACACGGTCTACACACCTTAACACCAGTGCAAGCTTCAACACTGACTGATGTACAACTAAACAAATGGCAAATTTATCCCACATGCGACTTGACCGTGACAAATTTAAGAGACACTGATTGGTAATGAGTGAGAGTCTTGTGGATGAACAAGACATCAGTTGGGAGGCAGGTTAAAAGCATTGGCCTTGACAGAAACAAAAGCACACAGCAGCACAATAAAGGTTAGTAGATGATAAATGGTGAGATGAAGTAGAATTGTTGTGCAACAGGAGTATAAAGGGAAAAGAAGTCAAGAAATTGTTAATTTGGTATTACAGAAACAAACATTGATGTCAGATGTGTTATGGTGCCAAGTTTTATGTTTTATATTTTGTCAAACAGCACATTCATATTCATACATATGCATTCACAGAAATGATGGAACCTGTAAACATTCAGGGCAAACAAACAACTTGATAACTATTATTATTAACAAGGTGCTTTTTGTGTTTTTAATGTTAGATTAATACTTTCACTAAGAATAAAGAATTTTAGAATTGTTTAGATCTGACATTGTTGTTATTGGTTCCTAGGACAAAATGGGGTCATTTCTGAAAAGACAAAAAAGAAAAAAAAAAGAAATGCAAGTGGTGGTTGCTATTTTCCATGGAAGCCCAGAACCACATTGTGAAGGGAAAATTTGGGGTGGAACAAATGTCTTGAATTTTTCCTGAGCCTATGTACTAAGAAAAAATTCACAGCGAGAGAAAAAAAAATCTCTTCAATTTTTTTTCTACTGAAAATCTTTTATCTTTTTTTCCTGTCAAAAGGCAACATGAGAGAAAACACAAAAGCCCTGAACTTCAACATGAAAAACAGTGTTAGTTCCTTGCTCAGCCTACATCCTAAGAATTTGTTCTTTATCCCAAAATGTTTTTTCTCTCTCCCAAGGGATGTAAACTATTTTGCTGGACAAAAGGGATGTTTACATAGACCAACAATTTAAAAAAACAACAACATAACGCATATGTATATATGTAACCGGATTTAACGATTTGTAAAATCTTCTTGTTTTATTCAAGAAGAAACCAACAAATCAGTGTAGGCATTAGATTTCATGCTCATTAAATTAGTGCCACTTGTGGCATGCTAAATGTTAGCTAGCCATCTTTTTTTTTCTCGTGTTGCATCTTGAAAAAAAAGGGGGAAATTTGCAGAGAGAACAAAGTTTTTGGTACAAAAAACTATGAGAAATATGTTTTGGAAAAAAAGATGATTTGGACAGGCTCAGGAAGGATCAAACGTACATTTTGAAAATGTGTCCTAAAATGTTGATGTTACCAAACACAACGTATCAAAATGTAAGTTCAGAGTTGTCTTGCATGTGAAGACTGACGGATGTATGCTGATAATCTAAACTAATACCATGCTCTCTAATCAAGTCCTCTACAAAACACTTCAATGTTAAGTGTTATTCTGCTCAAGCCAAAACCATCTTACAAAGAAAAACTGGGTCAGCTGCTCTCACAGCGTTCACTCCATCAAAGCAAGTCAAAAGCAATGCATGGCATGCAGACTGCTGAAATAAAAGACTGTCTCAGAAGAGTAAAGGGCTCTTGAGCTCACCAATTAGACAAAAAGATTTCTGACTAGCAACAAACATGTATTGTGTTAGCCATTTTCATGTTTACATGCAACAAGATGCATCAATACTGTTCAATACTAGATTCCAGTCACTACCCATTCCCAGGGTGCACTTTCTGACCTCTTCTCCTAATCATCCTCTCTATGACCTGTTTATGAGTACAGTTTGAGAGAGAGAGAGAGAGAGAGAGAGAGAGAGAGAGGAAAAATCTGTAATAGACTTGAAGTCTCTCTAAAAGACCTGACTCAACATGAGCATTCCTGTTTTATTATTTGCAGACATTTACTGCAGGAAGTGTGTGTAGTAATTCTGTGGTTCTTTGTTCCTTAAGCAAATGAAGCATATTGATTTAATCGAGACAGCTCCAGTAACCCATGCAGAAAGAAGGGCTCACTCATATTAGACAATCCTAAAACAGAACACAACCAGACACTGCCATCATATGGCCATATTAGGGCAGTGGTGCTTTTAACAATGGTACATTAGCACACAACAGCATGTTTATTGTATGATGCACTATAATCTGTTATATTGGTTATATTTTGTATGCTATATTAATACGAATACATAGGGCAAAACTTGCATAGGGAATCTGCTGCAGAGGACAGTCTCAGACTACTAAAAATTCACTTTTCACAGTAGGGACTTTTAAAAATGTGACTTAAGAGGTTTCCTATAGTTTGACCAAGCTTTATGTGAACAACTGCATATCCAGGTGTGTAGTGCTGATAACACAACTCTTTATAAAGGTAGACATGTAAACACATTTAGAATTTTCAACTAGTTTAATTTGGAAATTTAAGCAGCTTTATTATTAAAATTGTGTTACGTGTTTACAGCACTAAAAGAAAGCTGTTTATACTATATCACAAAATTATATGTAAGAACTAGAACAGCTTTTGTATCAAAATATTCTTGAAAAAGAGGAAAATGCATCATAACATAGAAACAACCATAGTCAACTCTTCCTCATCCTCGTCATCATCATAGTTGTCATCATTCTCATTACAGTGCAAACTAAAGTGCTATTTAGGAATAGAAATTCAGAGTGAAATTAGACAATATTAGAGGATTGCATAGAATTACAGTGCTAAAGCAGTTTTCTATTTGCTTGTAATACATTTGCTAAGTCATAGTGTGTAATTACAGGTACAGAAAGTACAGTACAATTTTGTGTTAGTACTGGACATGTAGAAAAGGCAAGTATTAGTGTGTGTTCAGGCATCAGATTTTGTTTTGTGACCATAAAGGATCCAAATCACCACGATCATCTTTTTTTGGCACCCCCCCGTCGACTGTTGTCATTTTTTATTGTGGTCTGGATGGTATCCTGACTACCATTGACTGCATATGCACAGTTGTTTTAATGGGAATTAGTTTAGGACTGAATGCTGAGATTATCCACCTTGTTCTGGAGAGAATCCAGAATTGCAGTGGAGTCAGAACTTGGTGGTGCAGTATTTGATGTGGAAATTTGAACAGGTGATGGAGTCGGTATGAGAGTGCTGCCAAGTGAAGGTGGAACAGGATTGTCCATCACTGGGGCAACTGCTTGTCCTGATGACGAGTGAGCCACATTTTGAGGGCCAAGTATTTGGCTTTGACCAGGCGTGCACATGGGTTGTCCCCCGGGTCTATTAAACATGGTGTTGAATTGAGATGGAATGGTCTGTTGACCCATGTGTGTTGGTGCAAATGAATACACATTACTTTGTGGAGGTATAGCTCCTGGTTGCATTTGGGGTTGACTGAGTGGACGAGGGACAAAAGGAACTTGGGAATTTTGGCTCAAGGGTGCCTGTGGTAAGACTTGAGACCCTGGATGTACTTGGTGGGGTGCAGGAATTTGTTGTAGTTGTGAAGATGGGAAAGATGTGGCGGCATAACCCATATAAGGCTGAGGCCTGTTTTGTGGAAGTTGTCCGGGGTGGAACTGATTGGAAAGAGTGGACTGAGGCTGAACCTGCCCTGGAATGAGGGCTCCATGAGGATGGGACACTGTCAGTTGGCCTGGTGGACCAAGCTGGGGTTGGGTATGTGGAAGTATTGCTGGCCGGTAACCTGAGGGAAGGCCAGACTGTTGCTGTGCTTGGCCTGGCATTGGAGGCTGGACTTGCTCAGGTGGAAAGGGCGGAAGGATTTGCCCAAGAAATGCACTTCTTGGTGTGGTTGAGGGGATGCTTTGTCTAGGCTGGGTGGTAAAGTTTTGGTATGGTGCTCCCTGTATGATCTGCTGGAAAGAGGAAGACTGAGGCATGCCAGTCGGCATCTGCTGCCCTAGAGAGTTTGGGAAGGATACTTGCTGTTGTCCTGGTAAACCAGGCCTAATGGAATTTTGGGGAATCTGTCCCATTTGTGGAGGCACAGAATAACCCCCTGTAACAGCAATAGGCCCACTTTGCTGCCAGAGAGCTGGATTGTACCCATGAGCAGGCACCTGTGGGGTGGTAGATTGGTTAACCTGTGGATGGACAGGTGTGATGCCTCCAGCTGGTCTTACCTGGAACTGCTGTGGCGACCCAGGGATTTGCAGGGGTGCAGAGGGCTGGCCATAAGGAACCTGTGGGAGATGGTGGGCCAACTGTTGCCTGAACTTTGGATCTGTAGTAGGAAACTGCGGGTTAGGATACGGAGTAGGCACAAAAGGGTTTGCCCCTTGTGGCCAACTAACAGGAGTTCCACCATGAGGAATGGGATTGGAAACTACTGGAACTCGAGGCAAATTCATATTTGGAGGGAGGCTTCGTAGTTCTTGTGGGAGATCTTCAAAAGAAGCAACAGAAGGACCTACAGACTCAAGACTGGAAGGGCCAGATCTACGACCAACAACTTTCTGGCCGACCACAGGCTTTTGGGCGGCAGGTCTAGGAGGCGGCCCTTTTCCAATCTCCCTGCAGACAGTACATCAAACAAGCATGTGGTGAGAAAAATGGATGGAATCTGACATGAAATACCTTGAGTATTGAGTTGTAATAGTCTACTAGTTAATGATTTGATCTGATAAGTAGGTTACAGATTCAGTACAAACAGAGATTACCTACAATGATGATTTACTCATATATTCACATACAAACTTTATTCAAAATATCATATCCTTCCACATGAGACAACTTACTTTTCCAGCAAGGCAACTCGCTCTCCCTCTCTGGTTTGGCAATAGGACTTTGTTTTGTCCAACAGGGCGGAGGTCTTCTTGTCCATATCCTGGTAGAAGTCTTTTCCCTCCTCAGCCTTCTTCATCAAGTCCTCATATGCCTCAAATGAGGCAATCAAGGCCTGCACAGTGCTGTTCCATCTTCAGGATAAAATGAGGATTAAATACAATGCCACAGAAACAGATACTAACATTTGAAATCTGAGTCTTTTGACTATGAAAATACAGAGACAAAAACATACTGTTGCTCTGTGAGCGTGAGTGTTTTGCGGACAGGGGCGTACTGTACATTGGCTTCTGTTAGGGCTTTCAGGATGTTATCCTGGGCAACCAAGTTTTGTTCTATATATCCCTTCAGCTGATCATATTTCTTCAACTGCTCCGCAAACAATGTCTGAAACAGAAGAGAAAGAAAGAGATCATCAAACTTTTAAATTGTAGCCTGTCATTTGTACTTATTTTTATTTATCTCTTTATGCTGCTCTGCTTTCAATCTATTTTGAACAGTTTCAGTTGGTCATTAACCTTGATCTCAGCATGATCTGTGGTTACAAGGACTCCAGTGATGTCATCTTTATGAATAAGGTCACGGAGCTGGCTCTCCAATGAGATCCTCTGCTTTCGCATTTCATCAACTTTGCCAAGAATAATCTTCATCTTTTGCAGGGATGACATTTCATCTTAGAGGAAAGTAAAGAATCTTCAACAACTTTTGAATGAATTCACAACAGATCACTTCTATTCATCTTTCCTTCTTCTAAATGCATAAGTGCACATGAAACACTTTTACCTTGACTAAGTTCTGGCTGGGGCAGGCTCTTTCGGAGTTCCTCAATAGACCCCTGTAACAGACGAAGGTTTGGTATGTGCTGATTCATGGCTTTGTGGAGCTCGGTGTTAGTGTTGCTGGCTGCCTGATGAGCAGCTTCATATTTCTTCAACTCTTTTTGAATATCCTGAAAGACTGCAGGCCTGGTCGGCAATCCCTTCTGCCCCACTACCTCCATCAAACTCTTATCCCCAGCCTCATCTTCCTCAAGGGCACAACGGACCTCATCCAGAGATGAACCAACATCGGTGTAAACATTAGATAGTGCTGCAACACACACACATAATTGGATGTCATC